CAGGAGCAGGAACTGAACAACTGAAAATGGCCCAGATTCTAGATTTAAGGAGAAGTAGTACCTCAAAGGCAGGGGTAAGGTTTCAGTGGGAGGAGTCTTGGTTGGTGCTGGTTTCTCTGTGTGGCAGGGGTCTTGCAAAAAACAGGTTGATTGGCATTTTGGAAAGCTACACCTATCTCCCAGAGGCTGTGTGGCTCCAACAGGTCACTCCATCTGTATGCTGTGATGAACTTGTGATGGAGCTAGGTAGAAGCCACATGAACCCCATGTGCTCAAACAGCAAGGTTGCTGCTGGGAGTTCCCAATATCAGGCTTTCCTGCCTAATGGTTTCAACATCATTTTAGTTCATGTACAGTTCACAGATGGCTTCCTGCACATCCCTCCTTTTTATTTTTTAAATGCAAATGAGAAACAATTACTTCGAGTTTCTGGATCCTTATTCTGATATAAAAAGAATTAATAGTAAACATCATTCCAATCATATATCATGCAGAATGTTCAATATATTTCCAGGATTAAAGCCAATTAATCCATGAACTATTTTATCAGCTGGGGATGCAGAGTTCATGAGATTGATCCTGATTTTCTGAATATCCTGTGTGTTATGATGTATCTCCATAAGGTTGAAGCTATTATTATCATTATGCCAAAGTCCATTAGATGACTTTTAATTTTTTCCAAATGCCATTGGGAAGGATGATATTTGGCTGCAGTAACACCGACATACTTAAGTCAGCATGGCATTTAAACCTTTGTCTAAATTTGAGGGTGGGAGACTCACTATGGACATTTGTAATGGAAATTTGTAATTTAATTTCAATCTTTTTATTAATATCTACCTGATTATACAGGGCTTTGGAAGTATTTTTAGCCAAATTGTTAAATAAAATAAGCTTAGTTAGATTATATTTCCACAGTGGAAAGCTAACACACACCGAGTTGTTTTTCTCAGGTATTTGTCACAGCAACGAACAGCTGACTAACACAGAAAAATGGAACCGGGATTGGGACTGTTGCTGTAACTTATGTCTGACCATGTAGTTCAGCATCCTGTGGAGCTCACTTGTTGGAGAAATTTGGAAAAGTTTGGAGATGCAGGCTAGAAAAGTCTTAGAATGTTTAAAGTGGAGCTGAATGGGCAATTCTGTTGTGAACCCAGAAGAGCAGAATGCTGATAGGAATGCAAACAGCAAAGGCCTAAGGTCTCAGTTGGGAACGAAGATTCTCGTTTGAATCTGACTACAGGCCGTATGTGTTGCATTCTGGCAAAAAGTTACATTTTGTCCATCTTCTGAGACTTTGTGTGAGGCGACATTTCAAGGTGATGAACTAGTCAATCTGGCAGAGAAAATTTCAAGGCAATGCAGCATTCAGGCCGTGGCATGGGCATTGTGGGCAGCTTTTAGCCAGGTTTACAATGAGAACTGGAAGTAAGCAATAGATCAGAAAGATTTGAAAATTTGCAGGTTCTCCAGAAAAGCGTGTGCTTTGCAGCCAAGAAAGGTGTGGTTGCTGAAGGGATTAGTGCCACTGAAGAGAAGCTAAGTATTTTGCACCAAGACAATGGGAATGATGTCTTAAGGTCATTTGAGAAATTTGCTAGATCCCACTCATCTCAGGCTCAAGGATGTAACAGTGTGAACTCTTTTGAGAAACTTTGTTTTAACAAGAGAAGGCTGGCAGGTCTTGCTCTCACAGGGCTGTATAGGAAGTTTTTTCCAGGATTTTTTTCACCATGCTTAGTCATTCAGGCACTCAGAGGCCACTGCAGCCGTGGTCCAGGATAGCATGGTTACTACTCCTGCTGGCAGCAGACCTTGCCCTGTCCATGTGGTGTTCATTTTGCAGGTATGAAGAATGCAAGAGTTACAAGGTCATAGAGGCACCCAGTGATATTTCAAAGAAAGACCCAAGAAGTCAGAAAATGTGCACCAGGACCGAAATCCCTTCAAGCAACCCTAAGAAGGTGATGAGAAAAGCTGTAAGAGTGAAGCCAAATCTCTAATAGAGCCTAGAAAGTTGGAGATGACAGGAACATGGGACATCTGCAGAGAAAATGTGCAGTCAGGGAGCAAAGCCAGCCTAAGAGGAAGCCCATACAGTTCACGACTGACAAGGCCACAGAAGTGGAGCTGCCCATGCCCTTCAGAGGTTCCGTTTGCCACCACGTGCCCAGCGTAACAGAGGGAACTGCAGGACTCAGTGTTGACTCTGGTGGGTTTTATTCTTGTTTTGATCTTATTTCTCCTTTCTATGACCCCATTTATCCCTTTTGGGATGGGAATGCTTACCCTTCGCCATTGTATGTTGGAAGTATATAGCTTACTTTTGGGCTTTCATAGAGTCGCATAGTTTAGAGTTTTTCTTGAGTCCCAGAGGAGACTTGGGGCTTGGATTTTTTTTTTTTTTTTTGAGAAATGATGGAACCATCAAACTTTGGGGACTATTGAAGATGGTTACATTTTTTTTTTCAACATGAGATGGACATAAGTCTTTGCAGATCAGGGGGAGAATGTTATAAATTTGGATATAAAGTACCCTCAAAGACTAATGTGTGAAAGGCTTGGGTCCCCCATGCAGTAAAGGAGAGGTGGGACTTTTGAGACGTGGTTGAATCATGATGACTCTTATCTCATTAGATTAATTCACGGATAGCTGACTGGATGTCTGGCAGACAGTGAAAACCGTAGGTGAGATCCAGTTGCAGGAACTGGGAGGTCACTGAGAGCATGCCCTAGAAAGGCATTGTGTGTGCCCAGCCTCTCCCTCAAGCCCCTAAACTTCATGATAGGCATGAGGCCAGCAGCTTCTTGTGTCAGACCCTCTGCCATGGTGACCTACCTTCTCACAGGCCCAAAGGAATGGAGCCAGCTGACCAGGGACTGAAGCCTCGGCAAGCTTGGGCCAGATGAATCCTTCTTCCTGTGAGCTGTTTCTTAGTTATTTGTCACAGTGGTGAAAAAGTGACACTCCTCTTCCAGCGACTTTGAAATGTATATCATTACAAACTAAACTGTTTACCTTCACTTGTGCATCTTATTTATCTCTACTCATTACTAATCTTTTACTTTACATTCTAATTCACCATGACATTCCTTTTCTTCTTTCATTATTTCCTGCTTTTCACTGGATTTGTTGAGATTTTTATTACTCAATTTTTTCTACATTAATTTTAACACTGAATATCATAAAATTTATATACCCAAATCAACATATCCTAATCAGCATGCCTACCCTTCTAGAAACGATTCAAATATATTAGAATTCTTTATTTTGAAATAGCCTTTCATCTAAAATTGCTATCTAGTTTTTTGTTGTTTGTTCACTGATTCTTAAAAATACTGTTGTTTTTTGCTCACTGATTTTTAATGCCATCACAAATACATTATTCTTTACAGATAGTATATTTATATTTTTACCTCTTTATAGTATTCTTTTATCTCAACCTTCTGAATCAATCTATTTCAATATACATCCTTCAGTAGTAATTCTTTCAGGATGCATCTGAGAAGTAAGTCTTTGTCCAAAAATGGCTGCTCATACTAAAAATAGTTTATCTGGACATATAATTTTAAATTGAGAATTATTGTTGCCTCAGTACTTTGAAGATGTTATTCCATTGTCCTGTGATTTCCATGGTTACTACTCCATGGTTTGTGGAGAAGGCAAAACTTTACCTCTATCTTCTTAAAATTTTCCATTGGTACTGTGAATTAACTGACATGATAGATCAACAGGAAGGAAGCTTACAGATTTCACATGGTATGAGAGTCATCATAAGAAAATGAAGATCCAAAGACACACAGTTCAGCACTTGGATAGATCATAACAGCCAATTGTGAAATGTGATAAGCGTTTGACAACTTTCTTCTCAATTTCTTGTCCATAGTGCATAAACAGATCAACTATTGTGCCTTTTTATCAGTAAAACTGTCGAATTATCCTACATTTCTTAATTAAAAAAAAAAAAAACAACTGACAGGCCTTATCTTCTGGCCCCTAAAACTGGCAGTAGTATTTCACTATTAACATATAATGGCTTATTTTGATTCATCTTGTATCTTCATCCTATTGTGTGAAGCCCAGGTATCAAATATTCGGACGCTCCTTTAGTCATGCACATGAACCAGTTCCATAGGTTAACTTGCTTCACCTTTACCATATTGAAAAATAATCCTTTTCTAGAATGTACTTAAGCCATAGGACCTGTCAGACCGCTGTAATGTAGGACTGCCCAGTTAGTCCAGAAGTAACGAGTCTACTTCTAATTCAATCAGTAATATATACGCATTAAATCACGTAGACAAAGTTGAATCGCTTTTGCTCCCTACCTGGGAAACGACTGTCAACGTGAAAGGAAAAACTGACCTTTGTAGCCACTAAATTTACTGTTAAAATTAGTACATATCTCAAAAATTAACAGCTGCTAAAGCTGATCGACTTCATTTTGTAATGTGTTTTCACCATTTTTGAATACTGGTGCTTAAAAGTGTAATTACACGACTTCAGAAAGTTGTAACTTGTGCACAGCCCTCTTATGAAATTGTGGGTGGCCCTGAAAAGAGCCTTTTATGTAACTTCTCCAGGATTTACGTCATTTGGAATTTTTTTTCAGTTGGAGATTATTTGCTTGGAATCTTGTGGTGACGATTTTCAGTCTTCTTGGGCAGCAGTACGGCCTGGATGTTAGGCAGGACACCGCCCTGCGCGATGGTTACGCCACCCAGCAACTTATTAAGTTCCTCATCGTTGCGGATGGCCAGCTGCAGGTGGCGCGGGATGATGCGCGTCTTCTTGTTGTCGCGGGCCGCGTTGCCAGCCAGCTCCAGGATCTCGGCCGTCAGGTACTCGAGCACCGCCGCCAGGTAGACGGGCGCGCCGGCCCCGACCCGCTCGGCATAGTTGCCCTTGCGCAGAAGGCGGTGGATTCGGCCTACGGGAAACTGCAGGCCCGCTCTACAGGAGCGAGTCCTTGCCTTAGCGCGCGCCTTGCCACCCTGCTTGCCACGTCCAGACATCTCCGCAGAAAGGGTCTGCTGCAAACGGAGAATTTGCCCCAAACCCGGTCTATTTATAGTCTAATCGCAGGTTGTCCTCGCCACCTGATTGGCTATGACTGCAGAGCCAATCAGAAAGTCTTACTGGAGACACTTCATTTGCATACTCGCCACTGCTGTCGTCCAATCAGATAGTGTTTGCCCTTACGTCATTCCAGCCTTGTGCCTATAAATACCACTCTTCCCAGCCTCAAGTGGCGTTTTCTTTTTGGCTTCTCCTGGGAGCCGTCGTGTTTGAGCTGTTAACGTTGTAAAGCTACTTACCAGCCATGCCGGAGTTGTCTTGTAAAGGTACTACGATATCCAAGAAGGGCTTCAAGAAAGCTGTCACGAAGACTCAGAAGAAGGAGGGAAAGAAGCGCAAAAGATGCCGCAAAGAGAGTTATTCCATTTACATCTACAAGGTGCTGAAGCAGGTGCACCCTGACACAGGCATCTCCTCGAAGGCCATGAGCATCATGAATTCCTTCGTCACTGACATATTTGAACGGATAGCTGGCGAGGCGTCGCGCCTGGCGCACTACAACAAGCGCTCGACCATCACGTCCCGGGAGATCCAGACCGCGGTGCGCCTGCTACTGCCTGGGGAGCTGGCCAAGCACGCCGTGTCCGAGGGCACCAAGGCGGTCACCAAATACACCAGTTCCAAGTAAATTTATTTCGTAAGCTTGCCTCCAACCCAAAGGCTCTTTTAAGAGCCACCTAAATTTTCTAAAGAAAGAGCTGTATGCTTCTCTATCAGCTGTAATTCTTGGCATTTGGCACTTGTAGGTTGGTTTTGTGTACTCCTGTTCACTAAACATTGTTCAGTGGTCCGAAGTTTCCTTTTAGCACATGAATCTAGAAGCTTTTCAAAGGCAGTTGTCCTCTATGGTTTTTTGGTAGTCAACATGTAGATTCCATGTTAGGCTTTGGTAGTTCTTAGCTAGTACACATTCCCAATCAAAACATAAAAATCTGAATAGATTTTATGGCCTTGGTCAATTTGTTTGGTTGGTCAATTTGGTAATTAAGTCTAGTTATCCTCCAGGCATTGGGACTCTGCAGCCTAAAGCTCAGGTTTCTTGTCTAGATGTCCTTTATTAAGATGCCTCAAGTTTCGTTGACTTTGAAATATGGAGGTTTGCCATTCCTCTAGGGCACTTCATTCTGGAATAATATCTGAACTACTATTAGTTGGCAGTTAATTTTAACTGAATTTTCTCTTCATCCCTAATAGAAGTTATGGTATGATCTCAGTATTTGTTTTGGTAGAGCTAATAAAAATGGTGTTTTTATGTCCTGTGTTACTAGATCACTACTCTTAAAAAGCAGATAAAGTGATGAGACATTGAATTCAACTCTTAAAAAGGTATTAACTGGAAACAATACAATTTTTAAATTGTTATATTCTGGAAACTTGCTTGTTGGAACTCTCAATTTGATGATGTTTTTCTTTCATTTAAAAATACTTAGACTATGCATATGATTTTTTTTTACATGAAAAAGCTTTAGTTTCATTTGATAGTATATCTGAATGTACAGGAAAAAAATGCAAAATAAAATGCCCTGTTCTGTGCAAAGCTAGGTTCCTGCAGAGCCTTCTTTGACTAGGAATCCTCCAAGGTGGCAGACAGGGTTCTATGCCAGTATAGCTCCAGCTGCCCCATCACACTCTGAGAAACAGCAGATACTACCCCCAAATCCCTGTCAACTTTGTGACCACTCCTAACAGGCTACTCTAATTATCCAAGGATGGTTTTTAGGATTATTTGGGCAAAATAATCTAGGAAAAGCATCTCTTCAGAGGAAACCTGGCATAGCTTTTATCTCCAATATATTTTGGCTACAAGTAAGAGGAAATGCCAGTTGATTTGGCTGAGGCAATAAATACACTACACAGGACACCAAGTCAGAGAAGTTTCCCCCAGAAGGATGATGGAAGCCCTGCTCCAGCCTTGCATTCTTGCCTCTGCCCTTTTCCACAACTGGACTTGACTATGATGCTGGTCTGCAAGTACTCATGTAAATAAGACAAAGTAAAGGCAGGGAGAGATTGTTTCACTGGGTGTCCAACCGAAAGCAAAGAGCCTTCCCAGAGGACACCTTCTAGGTCCATTCACTCAGTCCAGTGCCAGGTGCTGCCAGAGCCATCTGCCTGCCTCTAGGGTACCATGTAATGGGGAAGCAATCATTTACCTTCATATAAATTTGGCATTTTAAAAACTTAAGTGAAGTTCTAAGTATTTTTTTATTATTACAAATAAGGCATTTCCCTATTAATATCTTGTAATGCTTTGTTTTATATGAAAGATTGCTTTCTGTGCATTAGTAAATCCTACTATGTCACTGAAATAACATTTCATATTAGTTTTCTAGTAGATGTTGCATTTTACATGTTTGCAATATTATCTGAAAATAGTAAACATTTTATTGCCTCCTTTTAATTAGTTAAATTTCTAATTTCTTTCTCTTGTCTGATTTTAGTGGCTTGCACCTTTACAACAACATGAAATAGTGACAAGCACACATTCTTGCCAAAGATTCTTCTGCCATCATTCTGATTAAATATATGTTGTATTGAGGAAGAATCATTCTGTCTGATTTATTGAGTTTTATATCAAGAATGGATGTTCAGTTTTGCTAAATGCCTTTTCAGTATCTCTGGAAATGATCATAGATTTTCATTTTTAGGTATATGATGGTGAGTTATTTTAATACACTTCCTAAATTGAGTTATCCTTGCATTCCTGCTAAAAACCTCTGCTTGCTTAGACATCATATTTAATACATTTAATGTTATGCCGAATGTTTGCAATGTATTATTCATAATTTATATTTCACCACTGTAACAGAGGTATTCTCTATTTTTCTTTTTTTGTGAGCAATATATTCAGTTTTTGCAGTAAAATTTTATTCCATTTATAAAATTAATATGGAAGATTGTTGTCTTATTTATACTTTGGAGTTGTTTGAACAGTATTGGAATTCTCTTTTCTTAAAAACTTTGGTAAAATTCCATTTTGAATGAATTGGTATTCGATGCCCTTCTTTTGTGTGTGAGAGTTCTTAGTTTTTTTTTTAATATTTTTTTAGTTGTAGATGGATACAATATCTTTATTTATTTATTTTTATGTGGTGCTGAGGATTGAACCTAGTGCCTCATGCATGTGAGACATGCGTTCTACCACTGAGCTACAACTCCAGCCCATTTTTTTGTTGTTGTTTGTTTTGTTTTGTCTTTATTCTGATTTGTTATATATAACAGGAGAATGCATTAAAATTTATATTACACTTATAGAACACAATTTTTCATATCTCTGGTTGCATACAAAGAATAGTCACACCATTCGTGTCTTCATACCTGTACTTAGGGTAATGATGTCCATCTCATTCCACCATCTTTTCTACCCCTATGCCTCCTCCTTTCCTTTCCTCCCCTTTTCCCTGTCTAGAGTTCATCTAATCCTCCCATGCTCCCCCCACATTCTCCATTATGAATCTGACTTCTTTTATCAGAGAAAACATTCAGCATTTGGTTTTTTGGGATTGGCTAACTTAGCATTATATGAAATTATTGTTTCAATATGCTAACAATATGGAATAAACTTTGATAGATTAGTTTTTTTTCAGAAAAATCATCTAAAAATAGTCCCTTAGACATAAGCAAATTCTTCACTATTGATTGTTGTCACCACTGTGTTTTCTGTAGCACAACTCTTGCATTATCTTATTTTGTATGTGCTTTCTCATTTACACAAACCACACTAAGTAACGATTCACCTTTTATTTTATTTATTTTATTTGTTATTTATTTATTGGTACTGGGGATTGAACCCAGGGATGCTTTACCACTGAGTCTCATCCCCAGCCTCTTTTAGTTTTTTTATTTTGAAACAGGGTCTTACTAAGATGCTGAGGCTGGCCTTGAGCTTGAGATTCTACTGCCTCATCCTCCTGAGTGTCTGGGATTATGTGCCATGATGCCTGGTTCCTTTATTTCATTTAAAAAATGTATTTCTTGTAGCTTTGCATTTATTAAGTTTTACTTTTTTATTTTCTCATAACTATTGTTTTTACTTTTCTCACTATTTATTCTTTCTGCTTTGCTGGTTCATTTTTCTTTTATATTTCCCTAACTTCTTAAGTATATGCTTACTTTACAGAGGCAGTCCTTACACTGCATGGTGTTGATAGAAATGAATCTCAGTTACCAGTGTTTAGCTCAATAACACCAGTTGCTAAACAACCCAGTTCAAATTTCATTTATTATGATTTTCAATAGTAATCACATAAACTAGAAACTTCACTGCTAGCTCTTCAATCCCATACACAAATAGCATACAAATCATGATTGGTGACAATTGTGTCACCACTTTTAAAGTTTGTCAGTGATTTATGTTGTTTGGTTTATGCAAAGACAGGAAGCATGTTATTTGGGGATTTGCTCTAGAAGCAGGAACAATTGTGGCTTTATTTACCTATCTGTAGACTGTGATTTTTGCATTGTCACTTCAAAGAACATAATTGGTACCAATCAGCTGAGGGCTGGGAAAAGTGCCTATTTAGAAGTATGAAGTCTGAAATCGCCACAAAATCACTATAATGCCTTTGAACTCAGAAAAAAGAGAAATATCACCCTCTAAGGGAAACTTCTTGGTCTCATCTTACATGAGACCATCAGTTATACCGGACAAGGGAAACCCCAAGAAGAGGGACCAGAGGGGACCAACCACCTTAATCAAATCTTCATTGTCCCACTGTGAAGGTAGTGCTGCTGGCCCTTCAGTGTGGAGTTACTTGTAGAAAACTGACTGCAGTGGGGGGCTTCCCTTTTCCAAAAAGGTTTTTAAAAATTGTGTTTCCTTTTCCGCCATTCTTTAAACATTTGCTCATTGAATGTTATATGTGTGTGTGTAAAAAAAAATATAAAGGAGTTCCTTAGTATCATGGGGTTTACTTTCTTGTATAGTGAAAGGTAGACTTTATCAAATGTAAAAAGGCATTTATGGATGAAGGAAATATGACACAGAAAATTTAGAGCAGAATTCTTTATATTAGGAGACCAAGGAAGGCTTTGCATTTTCTGTAATTTACTCTAAAATATGAGATGAGATCACACTGAAATGTGAGATGAGATCACACTGAAATTTGGAGAAAGTCCTAAATCCAATGATGGGTATCTTTACCCATCAAAGGAGAACACTTGACACAAAGATACCAAGAAGATAGTGAGTGGGGCGTGGCAAACAGAAATTGTAGAATGTAACAATAAGCCACAGGAAGCTAAGGATCCCCAGTCCCCACCAGAGTGAGGAAGGAAGCATGGCAAAGGGTCTTCCTGGACAGTCTCCAGCTGAAACAAACTCTGTTGACATTTTTTTTTTTTTAACTTTTGGCTTTTATAACAGTGAAAGAATATATTTCAATTGTTTTAAGCTACAAATTTGTGTTTATTGTGCACTTGGAATGTGCTAATCTCAGCTGAGATGTGCCTTAACTATAAAATAGAAGATTTCAAAGACTTAATTTAAAAAATTAAATTATAATTTTTATCTTGATTACATGTTGAAATTATAACTTTTGGAATGTAACAAACTATTTGATTAAAATTAATTACATCTGTTTCTTTTTTGCTACTTTTTGGCTACTGGAAAGTTTAAAGTTATATATGTGGCCAGTATTTCTGGTTTGCTTTATATTTCTATTGGACCTTTTGAAATGAAAAATATACACTCAGTTTAAAGTGTTAAGAAACTGAGGACTGGACACAGAATGTGGCTCAGTGGTAGAGCACTTGCCTTGCATGTATGAAGCACTAGGTTCAATTCTCAGCACCACATATAAATGAATGAATGAATAAAATAAAAGTCCATCAACAACTAAAAAATTTGAAAATCATGTATCTAACAAAGGACATGTATCCAATATATAAATACTCAACAATAATAAAGTAACCACACAGTTAAGTGCAAAGGATTCAGAAGGATATCTTAACAAATAAGAATGTCAAAAGAAGCTCAACATCATTTTTTTAAATTAAGGAAATAAAAACAATGAGATACATTTGTACACCTAACAGAATGATGAAAATCTGTAACACATTTAAAAATTGCAACAAAGATATGATGCAAGAAGGACCCACATTCCTTGCTAGGGGGAATGTAGAAGGGTGCAGCAACTTTGGAAGACAGTTTGGCAGTTTCTCACACAGCTATACATTGACCATATGACCCAGAAATCATGTCTTTAGTGTTTACCTAGCTAACTTGTAAACACATTCTCAAAATTCTGCATATAAATAAAAATAACTTATAGTAGCTAAAAGATCTCTTCAATAACTAAATGGAGGGCTAGGGTTGTAAGTCTGTAGAGTGCTTGTCTGGCAAGCCTGAGGCCCTGGTTTCGATCCCCAGCAATGGGGGTGAGGGGCTGGGGGGTTGTGAATTGAAAAACAAAATATAGTATTTTTAATCAATAAAAATAAGCAATTACTTATCATATCAGTGAATTATAAATCCATGTTGCTTATTGAAAGAAACAGAATAAAAAATTACATTTCAATTCTTGAAGTGACATGGATGTGACAGGTATGCAGATGTATTGTTTGTCAGGGTTTTATTGTGGCACCTGGGCACTTGATTATAGATGATGCTCCTCTTTTATACAATGTGAATTCAGATACTCCATCGTCACCTCCTTGATGGTTACTCCAGTACTCCTGCTGGAGCTGTTTCTCAGGGCACTTTTTTCTATGAATATATTGTACATTTAACATCAACTAAGGTTTACAAAAATGGTGGAAAAACACAGTCTGAATTTCAAGAGGCAATAAAACATTTAATCAAATTGAAGATTCCAGCTACACTCCGGTTTTCTGGAAGTACTAATATTTTGATCCTTCCTTTTTAAGGTAGTCCATTTCAGTGTGTGTTATCTTTTTCCCCCTTAATGCTCATCTGCTCTGGGAGGAGGATCTAGATCATGATGACACAGTGGATCTTGCAGCCAAGTCCTGACCTGAATATTGGGCATTTTAATTTCTTGTAAACCTTAAACAGTGACCCCCCCCATAAATTCTAAATAATGCCAAATATAGGGCATTCAGTTAATACAGTTTCTCCTGTTTACCAGTTGACCGTGGTTGACCAAATTGTTGAGTTCAGATACAAATTACTTGCAATGACAAGATGTTCACATTCCTACGTCAACCTCTTTTCAAACAGAGCCGAGTCCGGACTTCAGCGAAGCTCTCAGAGGACATCATCAGACCAAGAGACACCCGGGCTTTGGGCCTCAAGAGCCAGCAGCCCAACCCAAGGAGAAAGAAAACCAGCCTCGAGGCTCGCATGCCCAACTTGCGGAAAGCCCACAGCTCCAGGCTCTCCCGGCTCAGAAGATTGGCACAGCGGGACAACCTAGAAAAAGGAGCTGTTGGCCCATGGGGCCCACCTGTAGCAACACCCAAGGTGGAACTGGGGTTGTATTTGGAGGCCTTCTCTACATCGCTTTCCTTGGAGTTTCAATGAAACCATGGCGCAAAGCTCAGAGCGTACTGCTAGGTGAACCACTGAGACTAGTCACATTACAT